TAATGATACTACTTATTTTTCTGTGTATACAGATATAAGATGAGAATATATCTTGTTTTTTTCATATAAGAAGCACAAAATGTACACTGTTGCACACTATCGTTGCTTCCATATTGCTGAGATACAGGCTCTTCATTCTGTGTATAACTGCATGGACTTTGATTGTCTGGCAGAACTGTGGTTTATTTATCCTGTCTGTGGTACACTGGGCTTTCTCAGTTTTCCTATTATAAGTGATGTAATTTTGTAAAGAATAGCTTTAGATATAACCTTGGTTTATAGTTACACATGTGTGTAGAAAAATTTCCAGAAATGCTATTGCTGGATTAGAAGGTATGTTTGTAATAGCTACAATAGGATAAGGGCCAGCCAGATAGCTCAGCGGATTAAAGCACCTGTTCAGGCAGAGCACAGGGACTGGGGTTCAATCCCCGGTATCACAAGCTGTGCAGGCCCTGCCCCAGAGGCGCACTGGACAGCTATTAAGACTGGGCCTGGTGCTATGCGCCTGTTATCCCAGTGCTTGGGAGGCTGAAAACAGGAAGATCACTGCGAGTACGATCTACATAGTGACACCCCATACACTCGGTGCTAAATACATGAAAAAAAATAGCTAAGACAGGTTATCAATACAGATTTTTGCCCATTTTGTAGGTAAGAAGTGACATTATCAGCATTATTTTAGTTGCATTTCTCTTATATATGAAGTTGACCATCTGTGTATATTTCAAGACCATTTGTACTTTCTTTCCTGTGATAGTGTACTTTCTCTTTTTTACCTTGAGGGCTTTTAATCCTTTCCCTTTTCTATTTTCCACAGCTCTTTTTTATTTGAACCTAGGCCTTCACACTGAACTATACCCTCAGCCCTTTTTATTTATTTGTGTGTGGGGGTTGAGACAGGGTCTGGCTATGTAGTTCAGGCTGGCCTTGACCTCTGTGTAGCCCAGGTTGACCTTGAACTCATGATGAGCCTCCTGCCTCAGCCTCCTGAGTGCTGGGATTACAGGCATGTGCCACCAAAAGTTTTTGTTTTTTGTTTTTTTAGTTTTTCCTTTTTCTTTTTGAGACAGGATCTCACTGTTGAAATCACTGTATATCCAGGCTGTCCTTAAACACACAATGAACCTTCTCCCTCAGCCTCCAGAGTGCTGAGGTTTCAGCTGTGTGCTACCACATGTGTCTGTTCTTTTTCTTTTCAGACAAGGTCCTGCTGATTTTACCTAGGCTGGTCTTGAATTTGAGATCTTGCTGAGTTAGTTTCCCAGGGAGCTGGGATCTCAGGTGTGTGCTACCATACCTGGTTTTAATAGCTCCTTTTATATTAGGGAAATTATTTTTGCTGATTTGACTATAGTTGCAGTTTGTCCTTTCTTTTTGGAAATTTATGAATCTTGATTATAAGCTTTTTATTTTTACAAATTTGTAAATGTTTCATTTTGTGATTTGGATATTTTGAGTCATAAAATCACATTCCAAAGTTATGAGAAACTATTTCTATATGTGTGCTTTTTTTTTTTTTTATTTTGCATTTAAATGTTTGGTCTATTAGGTTTTATCTTCATATTTGGTATATGGACCCAGGTGCTTTTTGGGGGGTGGGTGGGTTTGAAGTTTATTTATACAATTCTTATTGCCTCTTTCCACTGTAGAATTATAGACCCATTTCTTTTCTCTTTTTTTGCAGAACCGGGGATTGAACTCAGGCCTTTGAGCTTGCCAGGCAAGCGCTTATTCTACTGAGCCATCTCCCTGGCCCCTACAATTCTTATTAATATAACTACCTTTAAAATATAGCAAAAAGGATCAATTACTTGTCTGTGAACTGGCACCTATATGGTAGAGAAAAAAATCTACAGTCAGTTATTAAAGCTAATTCTTGAAACTTGTTAAGTAGCAGTGTAACATTTGCAGTACTCCCTAAATAATATGAAATAAAAGCATATTCATAAGAACTTCATTATTTTTGTATTACTGACTATAAAGAAAACTAAAAGATACTATCAGACTCTGAAAAACAGTTTAGGGCCGGGGAGATAGCTCAGTAGAATAAGCACTTGCCTGGCAAGCATAAGGACCTGAGCAATCCCTGGTACCACAAAAAAAAAAAAAAAAGGAAAGAATATTTTACAAAGAAAATGTTGGATTTTCCATTTAATTATAAACCAGAATACAAAGTTGACCATAAACGTAGCTATGCTTTTCACCTCAGATTATCAAAGCTGATGGCATCTGTGTAAAGAGCATAAACAATGCTTACCACAGCTCTTCCCTGGTTCTGTTCTTTGAAGTAAAATTCAGTATGATACCCAACTAAGTTAAAATTTGCTACTGGCTAACTTCACCAGAACTGTGTCATTTGTTTAGTCTCATATCTTGCTTTTGTATTATATACAATGTTTTCTAAACTTTCTTTTCTCAATTTGGAAAAATATTTTGAATCAGTCCTCTTCATAATTATTAATAAAGGCAGATCTTTTTAAATCCACATTCAAGATCTTAAAACTATTTGAGAAGAAAATATCAAAAAGCAGTTAAGGGGGCTGGTGAGATGGCTCAGTGGTCTAAAGCACCTACTTAGAACAAGCTAAGCTAAGCAAAGCACAGGGACCACGGTTCAATCCCCCAGCACCACATGTCAGCCAGCCCCGCCCCCTGGTGGGCTGAGCTGGCCACACACACAAAAAAATAAATAAATAAATTAAAAAAAAAAAGCAATTAAGTACATCAAAAGATGCAGTGCCCTACTATTTAATCAGAAATATATGCAGATTTTTTTCTGATATTTGTTATATCATTTAATCTCTGAACAATTTGAGATATACAAATATGTACTTCTATAAATTCATTCATGAATACTACAGACTGACAGTAGTAATTGGCACCCACCAATACATGTTACAAAGCTAGTGGAATACAAGTAACTTAAATTTTGATCTTCAGAGGAGAGATATAAGCAAAGAGATAAATTATATCAAAATCAATATAATTTTTATACAAAATAATTTGAACAATGTAAGAGGTAAGCCTTAGTCTTTTAAGAAGAAAATCAAGTGGCATAGGTTAGTGTTTCCTGTCTTCTGCTTTCACCAAGTACTATTGCAAGAACCATTTTCGGTTTCTTATTTGGCTACAATTTTCTGTAATTTAAATGTTACATCAAATGAGTAGTCGTGTGGTCGGGGAGATGGCTCAGTGGAATAAGTGCTTCCCTGGCAAGCACAAGGGTCTGAGTTCAATCCCTGGTTCCGCAAAAAAAAAAAACAAAACAAAACAAAACAAACAAATGAGTAGTCTATCTACTTAAAGTATGACTTTGTCTTTCAAAGAAGGAAGGCTGACAAGGGAAGGAGTTGGGATACCTGCTAGTGATGACATGCCAGAAAGGTGACTGCGTGCTACTCACTGCATGCTTCTCGCTGCTCGGGGGGCTTCTTCCCTCCAGTGAGTTCTGGGATGGCATGACAGCCATCCATAAAGCTCGTTTCGGAGTTTTGGAAAAAGAGAATGTTGTTGTAACCTTTTTTGAAGTCTTTCTTACTGCTGTAGCTGCTCTACTCAGTGTACTATCCGTATCTTTTGTATTTGCTTCAAAGGATTCTGGGTCAGCAGTGTACATGAGACTTTCTGCATCTGCTTTACAAATGGTGTTGGCTACGTGTCGGCACAGCACCTTTAGCCAGCTTGGACCCAGGTTTATTTTTCTAAATATTTCTGTGTATTCTAGTACTACTTGTGAGAAACTCAAGTTTTTGAAACAATTTGATAATGTTGCTTTGTCATATTCTAAATTTTCTGTATATGTTTGGATCTGAGTCTTCTGTGCTGTTTTGTCAGCTTGACTGACCATTCTGTGCTATTGCCTGTTGAGATTTTGATGATTGAGATTATAAAGTATTTCAAATAACAGGGGTCTGAGTGTGGAACTTAGTGCTTGCTTAGCGTATGCTGGGCCTGAGCCTGGCCTCTGCTCCCCCCGAAAGGTAAGTCTTGTTGTCCTGTGTCCATGTTCTTCACTACCTCTCTCTCTCTCTTTTTTTTTTTTTTTTGCTCCTCGAATGCCTTCAGGGCACTCTTGGCTGGCTGGAGGGTTGTGGGGATCGAACTACAACAACCTGAGGCTGACAGCTTTGCGGAAGCAGCCACTTAAAGAACTGAGCTAGGGCCAGGCCCCCTCTCTTTTGTTTTTTGAGCTTTCTTAACCATGTGTAGATTTTTTCTCATTTGAACGTGAGTTGGTTGCTTAGGTTCAGAAATAAAAAGCTATTGATTTATGTTATAATTTCATTAAATTGCTAAATTAACTTAGGGAAATGATTATACAAATAGAATAATAAAGCTCTCTGATGCTCAGTCTTTCTGTTCAGGAATGTGGTATTTCTTTCTCCTGTATCAGTTGATTCTCGGTGTTTTTCAGGAATGTCTGGTCCTTTTGCACAGGTTATATAAATTCTCTAAATTTATTCTTAGGTATTCTTTCTTGTTCACATTGTAAATGAGGTCTTTTGTTCTGTCACCTAGTTAGGCATTGATTGGGTTTGTACATAAGGAAAGTTACTGATATCTGTTAGGTGTAGTTTTAATCCCACTGCTTTATGATTAGTTTTTTTAATTGATTTTTTGGTTTTTTTAATTATAAGGAATTTATTTTATATATTATTTATGATTTTTGTTTTTATTTTTTATGTATTTGGCTGGTGCTGGATCTCAAACTCATGATGCTCCTGCTTTTGACCTCCCCAGCACTGGGACTGTGGGTGTGTTCTGCCACATCCGGACTCTGTAGCTGGCTCAGCCCACCCTGGAGACAGGCCTGGTGTGGCACGTGGTGCCAGGGTGCACTTTGCCATCCCTGTGCTTTCCTAAGCAGGTGCTTTAGTCTGCTGAGCTTATCTCGCAGGCCCAGGAATTTATTTTAAAGAACTTTACCAAAGTATAAGCAGCATGTTTCCCATCCTGGGGTTATGATTACTTTCTTGCTTGTGTTTTGTTTTTTAAGTTTTTGATAAAAATGAAAGTTAGAGTTGAGGGGCTAGGTAGATGGCTCAGTAGAATAAGCATTTCTCTGGCAAGCGCAAGTGCCTGAGTTCAGTCCCTAGTTCTGCCAAATAAAAAAAAAAAAAAGAGCTTAAAACTAAATACTGTTGGCTTGTAACCTGTTCCTAATCCACAGATGAAACTAAACACAGTTGAAAAATATGTGGGAAAAAATGGAATCTGCGCTAAATATATATAAACTTGGAATTTTTTTGGTTTGGCTATAAGAACATGTGCTGTCGTGCTCTACTATTGAATTACCTTCCTGACCTCTATGAGACTTTTCCTGGGTATTTCCTGAACAACATAGTACTCTTTATATAGTATGGACACTGTATTACTGTCCTTAGTCCAGTAATCCATGAGTGGCTTCCAATTACTGTCCTTAGTCCAGTAATCCATGAGTGACTTCCACAAGTAATAAACTCAAGTTGTGTTTTGTGTGAACATATACAGTAATGGCTGCTGCAGAATGACTTGAATATCTTTAAAAAGCTAACTAGGCTAAGAGGTACTGTAGAAGAGTTATATGACTATTTTTTTTTTCAAACCAGTTTAGGATGCTTATTTAAAATGCATTACTTTAGATAGCAGGCATTAAATGAGGATATTTTGTTAAGATAGGTTTTTAATTTCTTATAAGTTGACATGCTATCAATATTCTTATAGCAGAAATAAGAAGGATAAAAAAAGAGAAAAAGAAAGGGACCACATCAATGAAAGAAGAGAAAAAGAGCGTTCAGCGTCCACGAAAAAGAGTTCTAATGATAGAGATGGGAAGGAGAAGCTGGAGAAGAACAGTGCTTCAGTTAAAGTAAGCAACAGTGCTTGATTACTGCGGTCACGAAGAATTGAGATTGTTCTGTATCACATAGAAGCAGTTTTTAAATTTTTTTTTATTTAGTACTAGGGATTGAACCCAGCCCTTTTATTTTTTTATTTGAGACATGGTCTTGCTAGGTCTCTGAAGTGCTGAGGCCAGGTTCAAACTTGTGGTCTTCCTGTCCCAGTTTGCCAGAGTACTACAAGGGGATTGTAGGTGTATACTACCATGCTCCAGTTTTGTTTTTTTTTTTTTTTTTTGGTGGAACCGGGGATTGAATGCATGCCCTTGTGCTTGCCAGGGAAGCGCTTATTCCACTGAGCCATCTCCCCGGCCCCTGGGTTTTTGTTTTGTACTGGAAATTGAACTCAGGATCTTGTGCTTGCCAGACAGGCGCTGTGTCACTGAGCCCTCCCCTCAGCCCCTGGAAAAGCAGTTTTAAACAGAAAGCTTCATCACAGCAAGAGAATCTTGTGCGTTGTTGGTATTTTAAAATACTTGGTAATTTTTAAAAATTAAGTTTGGAAGAGGTAAGAGCCAGTTAAAATTTAAAAAGTCACATTTCTTAGAGAATCAGGAAATAGCATACCAGTAAATTCTAAAAATTTACAGGAAATGAATATTTGATATATTTAAAGAAATGCTTTTTATCTGTTGCCATATTCCACAGAATGTTTTATTAACTTTGACAAGACTGTGGCTGGTTTTGTAATGAGTAGTTAAAATTTGATTTGTTTTATTATTATATTACAGAAAACTAAATTCTACCAAGTTTGCATTTCTTTCTTTTTTTTTTTTTTTTTTTTGCGTAACCGGGGATTGAACTCAGGCCCTTGCGCTTGCCAGGGAAGCGCTTATACCACTGAGCCATCTCCCTGGCCCCCATTTCTTTAGATAATGTAAGAGCTTCTAAGTTTCTTTACTGTTCTGCCAGAGTTCATTGATATTTGGAAATTAGGTGTTCTGAAACTTGCATTGATCATATAGAGGTTCATCATTGATGACATGGATAATGTTTATTGAATGTATATTGTGTGCCTGGTAGTCTTTGTTTTCATTTATTCTCCGTTAAGCTGGGGATGAAATTTAGACTTATTTTTCAATACTGGGGGTTGAACCTAAGGCCTCACGGTTTCTAGGAAAGCATTCTTCTACAAAGCCATATCCACTCATCTTTTTTAAATTTTTAATTTTGAGACAGAGTATTTTCTTTGAACTTCCTAGCATTGCCTCCGACTTTTGGTCATCCTGCCTTACCCTGTCAAGTAGTTAGGATTACAGATGTGTATCACCGTACCTAGCTGAGTTATTCTTTTTTTTTTTTTTTTTTGTGGAACCGGGGATTGAACTCAAGCCATTGAGCTTGCCAGGCAAGCGCTTATTCCACTGAGCCATCTCCCTGGCCCCTTAGCTGGGTTATTCTTGAATAGTCTTCCTAAAGTGAAATTGCATTAGTCACCTTTCCCATTTTTGGACACAGTGCTCAACAGCAACAACTTTTAATTTGCTCTTGATTTCAGCCCATGGTCGGTTGGCTCCAGGGTTGTGGTGGAGCAAAGCTGCTCAGTTGATGGCAGAGCAGAGCAGGGGAAGAGCAGCAGAGAGTAAGGGACATAGTACCAGGTATAGATCCCAAGGCCAGGCCTCCATGACCTACCTGGGTACACCTAAGGCCATCCAAGTTGAAAGACCACCCTAATGATCAGAGGAATAATGCCTTTGTTTTCTGTTTTCCCTTATTTTTGTTTTTCATGGCATTTTATCTCTTCCCCTTTTCCAAGTCTGTTGGCAATATTTATTGTATACTTCCTTAGGACTTCTGTTTCCTGATTTTTTAATTTAGTTTCCATGGATTTTCTATCCTTTATGTCAGGTATAAAGGATGAGTAATGAAAGAAAATTACCCAGTTTTGTTAATTCACAAAAGATAACGTTACCTTCATTTAGCTGTAAGAGTTCTTAAAGAAAACAGTAAATCTGTACCTTAATGTTCATTACAGGAGAAGGAGCACAATAAAGAACCAGAATCGAGTGTGGGCAAAGAAGTAGATGATAAAGATACACCAAGGACTGAAGAAAATAAAGTACAGCAAAATGGAAATTGTCAGCCAAATGAAGAAAACCTCTCTACCAAAACTGAAGCAGTATAGGACCAACTAATGCACCTCTACACTCAACGCTGGAATAAAATCCAAAGCTTTTAATTCTCTCAACAAGATGTAAAAAGGGAAGAGACCTAGCTGAGCATAAAGATAGGCACACCAGTTGTCAGGTGATGTTGTGGACATCTTGTTACTGAGTAAGGAGATAAAGCACGGATGTTGTGAAAATACCACAGGTTACCCAAACTCTTCATCTAAAATCTGTGCATTTCCATGGTGGCTGACACACTTTTCATGTGGTTTGTTAGTGTTTGCCAAGAACCATTGCAAATAAATTGAACATCAGTCATCCAAATTTGTACTATTCCTAGGAACTGGAGATAAGCATTGGTGGCTCTTCAGAAAATGCTAGTTAGTGAATTTTGTATTGTTTCACTTTTTTAAAAGAAAAATTTCATTATATACAATTTGATGATGTGCTTGAAATTGGTGCAAGTATATACACACCATTGTAAGTGCAAAAGTATGTAAGAAGTTTTAACATTTACTTCACAGGATTTAAAGTGATTGTGTTAAATTTTCACTATTGTGTTTTCTTTTTGCTCACTGTTTAGGACAGCAATTTTTCTTTAATTATACAGATTAAAATTGCTCAAATAAGTGTATAACAAACAACTGACAATGCATGCTACTGTTCTCTTTCAAAAGGAAGAGCAACTGTGTTGAATACTAATAATAATATATTAGTATTCATTGTTCAGAATCATTGGGTCTACCCATGAAGGAAGCAGTTTTTAAACTTTCTTGACATTTCCAACATTACTATGAATATCGCAGTGTGTTTTGTCAGCTGTAGGTGGCAAAGATGCCTTTATAAAAAAGAAACTGGGTTTCAAAATGGGCAATGGGAGCACAAGCTGAAGCTTTAGTGCCTTCTACAATGTGGTATACTGTTTTCTAGAATTTTATATGTGCTAGTCATTCTCAATTCATATGGAATCTAGATGGATATTCAAACCCATAGAGAAGTGTGTAAGTGGAGTGTCAGAAGAGCTTCTTACTTAGTTCAGGTATGAAAGGGAAGTACTGTTTTCAAGACTGCCTTCAGAGTTTAAAACAGTGCAGTGTTGGGACCATCAATTTTATACTGTGATAACTGAAAATAAACATGTTCTTTTTTCTTCAAATCAAAGGAAACCTTTTAGTTGACTACATTGGATGGCCTTATATTGCCTCTCAATCAGTTTCTCGTAAGCATTGTATACAACTCAAATTTTAAGGGAGGATTAAGAGTATATAGATTTTTTATGTTTTAAGGATATGTTTATTTGAGTTTGAGATACAGGTCATCTATCATCAAGCTTATGTTTTGGAGAAAGTATGCATAAGAGTAAAGTGACAACATTTTGCTAATATTTTCCCCCAAATTTTTACCTGTTATTTCTGAGCTTTTTTATTATTTACAAAAAGTAATACTTTTAATTATTAAAAATCATGTATAATTTTTTAATGCAATCTAATACAATCAAATTACTCAGTTGCCTTACCTCATGGGAAGAGTTACTTTTGTAGATTATAAAAACTGAGTAGCACATTAGTTACTTGGTTTCAACTTGAGTTTTCTTTTAATGTTAAAACAGTTGAAACTTAAGAGGGCCGGTGAGATGGCTTGGTAGACTAAGCCTCTGCTTAGGCAAGTGCAAAGACTGGAGTTCAGTACCTGGCAGCACATGCTGCGCCGGCCCTGCCCCGGGGCGCACTGAGCCAGCCACAGAAGCTGGGCGTGGTGGTACATGCCTGTAATCCCAGCACTGGGGAGGCTGAGAACAGGAGGATCACTATGGAGTCTGAACTGCATAGTGAGACCCTGTGCCAAATACATTCGAAAAGAAAGAAAGAAACTTAAGTACTTAGTGGAGAATGGGAAACATTACCCCTTTTGCAAATAATGAAGCCTGGTTTGATAATGAAGCTGCTTAATCATCTTCATGTGTTCAGAATTACTGTGTGTTTGGGTTTTTTTCCCTTTTTGTCACTGTGTATGTTAAAAGTTTCCAAAATGCTTTACTATGTAAAGTATAGAGGGTCATTTTAGTCATTCAGCCACATACGGTTGGCTGGTAAACAGCTTATTCTGATACAGTAATGCTTGGGTGCACACAGAAAGACTGTGAAAGAGTGTGTGTCTTGCATCAACAGCTGTCTTATTTATGATATGTAAGTAGAATAGGCCAAATGTTTGAATCTTTGTTATTTTTAGTACCATTTTCTCTAATAAAGCTAAGTATTTTAGAGGAAAGTATCTGTTTATGCATTTCAAAAAAAAAAATCTTAGTTTTCACTCTACCTTTGTTTTAGTTGGCACAGAGATTGGTTTGCCATGGGGAGTGGTGTCTAAAATAGTCATTTGAAATTTGTTTTCTTACAGTCTGGACCCTGAAAATTTTTAGTGTTAAAAATTACTTAATTTGATTCCTGCTGCTTACTTTTCTTCCTGCTCATCCTTTTTAATTTTTAAAATAATCACAATCTTGAAAAGATAATTTTAGGAAGCCTTGAGAGTAAGAAAAATACAAGGGATCTAGAGAAAGTGAAATTAGGTGACTGTGGGATTTGACACTTTCCTACAGGGAAGCAAGGCTTCTTTGGCTCCTTGGAGGGGCTCTTGAGAGAGAGAGCGGAAGCAGAAGTGGGAGAGCGAACACAGGTTTTGTTTGTTTACTTAGAGTTACTGTGGTTTTTAAAATTTTCTTTTAAGGTTTTTTTATTTTATTTTTTTATTCAAGACTTCTTTTTTCATCCAAGGTAGAGGATGTCAGGAAAACTGAGGTAAGGCCAAGGAGACAGCTCTTACACAATTGCTACATTCTGGTTGTCCTTTTAGCTTTATTTCACAGAGATTATATTCTGTTCCTTAAATTGTAGTTGCTGTTCACCATTTTAGACAAATTTTGTTGGTGTTCGTAACTGCTTTTCAGCAATGTACACTGACCTACTATCATAAAGTAGTCCTTCATAAGCTAGCCAGTTCTGTTTGTGAAAATGTAAATTCTTAATTTCAATGATTATTACTTGCTGTTTTCCAGCTAACCTAATTAGCTTATCAGTAAAAAGCAAGTCAGATTGTGACTTTTAAGTATCAAGAGGGTTAAAGTTTTGGGGTGCTCAATTAAAAATAAAACTAGTATTTATTACCAAAAGGTTTTTTTTTTTTTTTTTTTGGTCTAGAAATTTTTTTTTGTGATATTAATAATTTCCAGGATCCTTAGTTTTCCTATGTATATATTACTACCCTTATTTTAAAATAAAATAATTTGAACCAAACCTGCCCTCAAATGAAGATATTACTCAGATTTAAGGATTATAATATACTGTTGTAGGCTTTCAAGGTTTTTTTCTAACATTGTATTATAAGAATAGCACAGACTTATTTAATCATGCTTAGTAGTTAAATTAGCAATTAAATCCTTTTAGACAGATACATTAGGTCACTCACATTCAGTGAGTCATTTCTTACTACTTTCATTTTTTAAAAACATTTTCATTTTAAAAAACTGTGTTTGATTATAATTGGCCGGAGTTACACATTCTTAAACAGGTAAAGTACAATAACCATGTGTTCTGTAGGTGTTTAAATATTTTTAATTTCCTCTATTTTTAGTATTTGCTCATGTTATTTACTAATGTAATAATCACTTAAATTATTTTCAGATTTCAAAAGTGCTCCTTTCAAAAGGGTTGATTTTTATTTGTGGAAGAAGTGTAGTATAAATGTAATAAAGTAATCTTTTAAAATAAAACTGCCTTCCATATTTAATCTCAGTCTTATGAGAGTCTTTCTGAGGTTACTTTTATTTATAAATGTTATGCTGCCTGAAGAACGATACTTTTTTAAAAAATAAAAATGCATTTTTGGTCTCTTAGTCCATAGATGGGTTAGCTTTAGTAACCAATAGATCTCTTTCTATTTCAATCTAAGGTATTGTTAGTATTTCTTACAATTTATTGATTACAATTATCAGTTTATGTCTACTCTTTTCCCGTTTTAGAGGTGGTGGAGGTGCAAGAGATCAAATCTAGGACTTCATGCACAGTAGCCAAGCTCTCTGCCACTGAGCTATCCCAACCCCTTATACAACATAACATACCTTCCCCCCCATACAACATTGTTTACTAAATTTTTTGAAAAGAGCGTTTCAATCTGTTACCTGACTTTTAAATATGTAGCTAATGTAATTTGGAAAGTTACGTTTGTCATATATTTTACCTGTGTAGATTTTATTTGTATAAGATTGTATTTTCATTTCTCTTCCCCTTCCCCCCCTTTTCAGACAGGGTCTGGCTATGTAACTCAGATTGGCCTATTTACTATACAGCCCAGGCTGACCTCATCAAACTCAAGGTGACTTTCCTGCCTTTACCTCTTGAGTGCTGGGATTACAGGTGTGCAGTGTGCGCCACCATGCCTGGCCTTGAAATTTATAAAACTTACACTGAAAGAATCAGAAGAGATTAAGTTTTAGCAGTTGAAAGGTAATTGTTGGTAACAAGTAACATTGTGGGTAATAACTTAGAGAAACCTGATTTTCACTGAACATTAAATTTGGAAATACTGTATAGCTCTGTAATTCAATTTAATAGACAATTATCTTCAAAACTTGAATAATAGAGCAGTGTTGTAGATTATCAAGGGAAGAATTTAAAATGTAAATGTAAATACACTGCATAGGTGTTGTATATGTGAGTAGGACTTTTAATGGCACCAGTAAAAAATTTATCAACTCATGCTATTATGTTGCTGTGTTTTAATAAAATGAAAATAATGTCTTGCCCCTGTTGAGTAGTAATTTCACTTGTTTTGGTGGTATCTTATTTGCATAATCATAGATGTGAGCATTTTTGTTTTTTGTTCTTTTGAGATGGCCTGCTGTGTATCCCAGGCTGGACTGGGATTCATGTTCCTCATGCTTAGGAGTGTGCCACGGCTCACAGCTTGTTTTTATAGCTGCAAGGTGATAATTGGTCCTTCCAGTGTTCAAAGTTATTTTCAAAATTGAGATTTTGTATATTGTATAATCTTAACGTATATCAATAACTAGGCAAGGCTTTTTTTTTTTTTTTTTTTTCCTTTGTATTTTAGGGAATGGTCTACAGGGTGTTCAGGGTCTTACTACTAGATCAGACTTGTGATCCGCCTGTTTACAGTCTCCCAAGAGCTGGGATTACAGGCACACAAGGCTTTTGTATTAAACATTTTGTATATTAAAGTAAATGATAGTTGCTTTCTAAATTTCCCTTTTTGTTTATAGAAACAGCTTTTTGCTAGGATACTTATGCAATGAAAGTTATCCTCATGTCTTTTACCAGCAAGTAAAATGCCTTCTCTTATCAGAGATATAGCTCTTCATTTAGTGAATGAGCTGTGTATTTAGGGTGGTCTTTGAAGCAAGACAGCCTGTTAGTCCACATCTTCAGAATTGCCTCAGAGGTACATCAGTTTAGAATCTTGGGTGACCTCCCGGCTTAGTTGGCTAGAGATGATGAGCTGTGCGTGCTGATTTTTCCATGTAGACCGGCTCCTTAGTGTCTTGTTGGTTAAAGGTTAGTGGCCAGTTTGGTTTTCAAAATGTGTTATGTCTTATATACTGGAGTGGAGGAGGAGAGCCTTTGAAGTTTACCCTTTGACACTAGTGGGTTTAGACTTTTTTGACCTTTTTTCAGAAGACTTTGAAGGATCTCAGATTGTAGCAACAACTTTTGACAGAAGACATCGACCCAAAATCTTAAGTTGTGGGCTGGAGATACAGCTCAGTGACACAGCACCTGCTCGGTAAAAACAAGGTCCTGAATTCAATCCCTGGTACCAAAAATAAAATCTTAAGTTGCATTATCTTTGAAGGATTATTTGGTCATAATCAAGGTTTAATTTTAATACAGTTCATTTTTGTAACTAGCACTTCCTTACCTTGGGATAAACATCCTAAAGTTCACTAAAGCTAAGTCTTTTAAGTATTCTGAGCCAGGTGTGGTAGCTCACACCTGTAGTTCCAGCATTTGGGAGGCTGCAGCAGTAGGATTGCTGTGAGTTTGAGACCAGCATGGGCTACAAAATGAGCTCAAGGCCAGCCTGAATTCCTTAGTGAGACCCTGCATCAAAAAAACAACAAAATATCCCTTTTTTGGTGGAACCAGGGATTGAACTGAGGCCCTTGCGCTTGCCAGGCAAGCACTTATTCTACTGAGCTATCTCCCTGGCCCCCAACAAAATATTCTGCTGCTCCTCAATGTAGAATGACTTTAGTATAACAATGGAGTTGGTAAATGTAGTCCATTAGAGAGCCATGGCCTCTAAGTCTACATTTCCCTCTCTTGAACTCATCTTGTGTTTCCTATTATCAGACACAAAACTTACTAAACACTAGCTGTTATAATGCTGCATGTCTGGCCAGCACCATAAACTCATCCTGTTCCAGACAAAGCATTTGGTTTCTGTAGTTGATTCTTTACTTCAGATGCTGTGAGTTCAGAGAATTCTTTATTTCAGAAAAGAATTCCGCTCTGAGTTCCTCTGTAACTTTCTTCTGTTGCTTATTTACTTTCGACGCTATTAATTCATACGTTTGAGTTGAGCTAGTGTTCTCTGCACTTGTTCTGGGTGGGCATTGGGTTTCCTCCATATATTTCTGCA